TGCAGTATCGCTCTGAGCTGTAGTAAGGCACGATAGTTTTGGCCCGCCTCCTTGGATGCACTTCTCTAGAGCGCACGATGCAACTTTGTATTCACATCCTAATTAATTTCGCCCGTTTGGAAGACATAAAAACAAAAACGTGTACTATTTTGCTATGTTGGTGACTCTGAACATAAAGAGAAGACAATTTTAAAAATGTCTAGTAAATACCAAAAAACGGTATTTAAGCTTGTGAATACGAGTATTACAAAATTGTACAAATAGATCCAAATACCGATATTCGGTATTCCGGTATACCGGTATTGCAATCCCTAGTAACAGCAGTTTAGAGAGACGTAGCCCGAGGGCAAGCACTCAGAATTCCTCGCTCTCTTTCACGAAGTAAATTGAAACTTTCCCTTAACACTATTTCTTCCTCATTTCCATTCAATGTGATTCTAAAACCTCATTCTGGTCGGGAGTTGTAAGTTGAAACGGGGCAAGATAGGAAAGATTAATTAAATTAAAATACAGTGGAGGGACAAAAATATGGAAACACGTTGTGAAATGCATGTTTGAAAAGAAAGATTGATTTTAATGAAATATGTAGGTGGCGCTGGCGTTTTTGACTACTGACGCCACCTATACACTTCGTAAATGTGTAAAAAGTTCAGTGTTGTCGAAGAACAGTTATGTTGAGGTTGTCATTGCATTATGTCAGAGTTAAGAGACTTCGAACGTGGGCAAAGTGTTTGGAGCACGTATGGTAGGATGCTTCCGTAAGCAAGGTAGCCGAGGTGTTTAGTGTTTCAAGAGGTACTGTATCAAGATTATTCCGCATATTTGAAAAGCGGAAAAAAATCATCTGCTAAATCACAGCGCGGACGAAAGTGTGACCTAGTGATCGTGGACAGACGATCATAAGGGCAATTGTGACGAAAAAAATAAGAAGACCATAGCGCAAAGTTACTGCCTGAAATGAATGTTGTGTTATTAAACCCTGTGAGTACCAAAACAATAGAAGGAGCTTCATAAACAGGGAATTGCTGGCCGTGCTGCAATTGAGAAGCCACTCGTCAGGATGCTAATGCCCGTAACAGGGAAAGGTGGTGTTTAAGTCATAAAGCCTGGACTATAGAGCATGGAAGCGAGTAATATGGTCTTCTTTCACTGTTTCCACTTCTGGCCGAGTTTACGTCTGGAAGAACGCCATCCAAGCCATAATACAGACTGCTTGTTGCCAAGAGTGAAACATGCAGGGGTTCTGTTATGGTTTGGGCAGCCATATCGTGGTTCTCTGCTAGCCCCATGAAACTGTGTCAGGGCACATGACTGCCAAGACTTGTGTGAACATTTTGGCCGATCAAGTTCATCCCTGGTACAAACTTGTTCCCGATGGTGATGGTGTCTTCCAAGACGACAAAGCCTGTTCACACAGCTCATTGTCCAGGACTGGTTTTCTGAGCACGAGGATGAGTTGTCCCATTTCCCTGGCACCACAGTCACCAGAAACCTGAATATTATCGAAACCTTTGGTCTACATTGGAACGGAAAGTGCGTTCTCGTTATCCACGCCAACATCGTTATTGAACTTGCCACGTTTTGCAGGAAGAATGGTATAATATTTCCCTTGGCAAACATACAGGAACGTATTTTATGAAGACTGCAAGCTGTTTTGGATGCCAACGGGTTTCCTACACCATTTTAAGCAAAGAAACATGTTTTTTTTTAAAGGTGTTTCCATATTTTTGTCCAACCCCTGTAACTGTTATAAAATTCAAATATACCTTACAACTTGTAGCTTTGTCCTTATGACGTTTCACTCTTTGAAGATCATTGGGATAAAGAAATGGAAATTCTTCTCCAAGTATCGGACGTAAAACTTTCTCTCGATGGTACTTCGAGTTGGATATGAACATTTTCCCCACTCTTCTTATTTTTATTTTCCATTATATGAGAACCCTTTAATAATCATATAGCTCTTATTCAAATTTTCTTTGCACCAAGGGAGCCAGGTTTGCATACTTTTTTCTCTTCGTTTTCAAGAATAAACAGACGTTTTTCTTGCCGTCATTTGGTTAAACCCATGTTTTATCGAGGGTCACAATGTGTTTTCATTTATCTTCTTCTAATAGTTTTCGTACAGGGTTCTAGAAATTGTTCTGTATTGAGACACACGCTAGGCAAAAGCTGGTGAACATTAATCTTTTTTGGTTTTTTCAAGTCGTAAATCTTGGTTTATTATTTTATTTATTGTTGTACAGATGTATTTAATGACTTTGCAATTGATTTCTCTCTCTGTGTGTGTGTGGGGGGGTGTTTCCCTTGTTATCAGCGACTTTAGAAACATTAGAAACAGTACGTACCTTTTTCGTGTATACGCTTGGAGTCTGACTGAACGCTTTTTCGCTCTCTGATAAATAATGATGCTTATTTTACATTTCGAAATTTTAATATCGTGCTCTTTGGAGAAAGCAAAAACATGGCCTTCAATCCACAGCTTGTTTAAATGCGCCACTTTAGAAAAAGAATCAGTTTAATAGTAGCAGACAATACTTCTCATTCCAGATAATAAGCTGTTGCCAAAATTGTTTTACGAAACATTTTCATTTTTTTAATTTTTTATTGAAATCGTTCTAAAAATATTTCAACACCTTTATCTAACAGCTAACTGTGTAAAAACCTGGAGAACTGATAAGCGAATAATCGCTTTAGATCAGAAAACAGAAACGTTAATTCATGAAGAGTTAATTACCCTTTATTGCTCAAAATAAAGATTAACAGATGGCCCTCTCTCAGGGCGTACAGAAGAGCCTCCACTTGGGCTTGAACTCAAGAATTCTAAGAAATCAAACTTAACTAACGCTTAATTAAAATGATATAACCGAAGCTATCGAAATTCTACAGGAGTTGTCCCCTAAATGGTAATAAACGGAGAAGCTATCAAGGGCCTGAAATACGTCCGAGAGGTAGCAATAGCTTAGAGAAAGTGTAGCCAAATAGCGAACGCGCGCTCGTCAGAATCTCTGGCTCTCTAAAGAAGTCAGTGGAATTTCGACTTAAATACCGCTCTTCCTCGTTTGCATTAACCACGATTCTAAAAAAAACATTCTGATGTGAAACTGTAAATTGAAATTAGGAGAGATGGGAAAGTACCTTTAATTAAAGATAACTGTTGAAAACTTAAAATAAACCTTACAACCTTCTGTATTTGTTAAAATCAGAAACATAGTAATAAATCGAATATGAATGCAAAATAAAAGTATAGATGATTATAAAATTACTACATACACAGGTATAAGCTATTCATATACTCATGAACTACAGTACGTTGTGTGACGTAGTATATATATTATTAGTCCAAAGGGATTTGAGTCCCGAAGGACTATTACTTTCGTTTTGGCATTTGAGTCGGACTCTTAAAATTCGGTCACTTTCAAACGTTGCCAAAAATGTTAGAGTCCGCCTTATTTGAAGAAATAAGTAATGAAAAATATGCATAAATGTATGATATTTCGCATTGTGCTAAAAACGGTACTAGAGTCATCGAATTTTGAATAACGTAATCCGCCAACGAAATGAGATGTGGAAGACCAAATTTGAAATTTGGAATTTTTTTATTATCGATTTCATATTTTGTAAAACTTTAACGATTCTGAGAACAAAGTCAACGATTAAAATCGGGCAATGGAACACCTACGGGGGAAAAAAACCTTTTATCTCCAGCGCGTCGAACTATCGGAAATTCTAAGATAGGCTCTTTTAAAATTATTTTGCGACATTGTATTGAACTGAATTTTATGGTTTAGTGCAAGAAATGATATTAAAAATAAAGGTAACAAACGAAAAGTTAAAAAAAACACCCCATACCTTTGAACTTAATTTAAATCTGAAAACATTTCAGATTTATATATATATATATGGGTTGTTTTTTTTTTATAATTATTAATATTATCATTTTTAATTATTATTATTTTTTTATTATTATTATTATTTTTTTTTTTTTTTTTTTTTTTTAGTGAAGCAACTCATGTTCACCAACGTGGATGATAGTCGCAATGAGTGTTAACATCAGTTCAAGTCACTCTCGTGAAACTGAAAATGGATCTCTGTAAGTTATGAAATATTATAATTTTTCTTCTATTTAGAAACCTGTATTATTTTACGGAATAGAGTTTTTTTACAGTCAAAAGGAATATTGTCGTTGAAATAAAGGCGAAAGTAAAAAGGGCAAAAAGTTTGTTTTATTTATAATCTCTGAAAATTAAAAAAAAACTTTATATCCCTGTAAGTTATGAAATATTATAATTTTTCTTCTATTTAGAAACCTGTATTATTTTACGGAATACGTTGAGTTTTTTTACGGTCAAAATGAATATTGTCGTTGAAATAAAGGCAAAAGTTAAAAAGGACAAAATGTTTGTTTTATTTATAATCTGTGAAAATTAAAAAAAACTTTATATCCGATATAGTTTCAGATTTTGAAATTTTAAAATCATAAACTTCAACTAGTCTCAAAAATCGATTTTCAAAAATTAAGCTAAAATTTTTCATACACGTTTCATTGGAAATTTTTTCCACCTGTTGCAGTCGATGGTGGAAACAGCAAATTTCTGATATGCATATTTTGTTGATTAAACGAAGATGTATGCAAAAATTCGTTTAAACATGTCATTTAAAAAATTCCAAATCGAATTTAGGAAAAAAAAAATCGCTTCACTTTCACTGCTTTGTCATCGACAAACTGTGTTTGTGCAAAATTCAAATTCGACAGCTTATCGGGAAGTAGCTTAAAAATCGAAGCGTGAGTGACCTAAATAAAAGATTATAAAAAAAAACTTGCCTAAAAAAAAACAGTTAGGATTTGAATTTGCGAAAGTTTGGCGCTTTCTGAGATGCTGGAGACTTTTAATAAGGTAGTTGCACTAATACCTAAATACCAGAAATTATATTACTTGTGCTCATTAAAACAGGCAAAATAGATATTTTCTGTTGTAATAAAGGAATAAAATATTGTTTACCTAGCTCAAATCCAGGACTTGTCGGTGTAGGTGGAGGTACATCTGCAATATCCACTTCTCCCTTTTCGAATTCCTCCAAGGACACGCATTCCACTTCATGTTCGAGACTGTGCAAAAGCTCCTTAATCTGAGAATGGTCGCATTGCACGTCCACGTAGATCTCGTACTGTGAAGGTCTTTTTCGCGATTTTCTTGATTCGATATGAACCACATTCACATTATTCTCCTAGGGAAAAAATTCCGAGATATGCTGCACAGCGAAAACGAATGGAAAACTTAAAAAATGTTGATATTGCTAACATTTAATAACTTAATTAACTGCAGTACTAGAACAGTACTTGTCTTTGATAGCGGCCTTGGCGACAAAAAATAGCATTGGCGCGATTCGGGCTAAAGAAAGTACATTTGTCGCCAAAAGTTGTAAGTATGCACGAAAACGAAACTGACTACTATAAGCGATAAATCGGCAATTACTTCATTAATAATCAAACATTAATATAGCACAAGTTATCAAATATATACGAGGTATGAAAAAAAGAGACTGTGTAGCTTGAAAAAAAGATTGGAGTTGGCAACAAACTGTTTTGGTGACGTCATCCCACACACTTCCTCTATCCATGTGGCCAGTTTCAGCTTAACCAAACGCACCAGTTGGGAGTACTGCGCCATTGAGTGAACATGTGAAACTGCATTTTGCGGTTTTGCAGCTGAAGATGATGGTTCGGTAAAACCATCGAAACTAGTCCTGTGAAAATTTTGTGAATATAACGCTGATTTTTGTTGTTTGACTTCTGAATTAGTATTTATTCGGCGTGTTATTGTGTCTTAATGTGAAACTGCATTCTGCCGGGAAAAAAATGTCTTATGTAAAAACCGAACATCGAATCAAAATCAAGTTTCTTGTGAAACTTAAATCAGACACGGAAGCATTTCAAATGTTAACAGAGGCTTATGGAGATGAGACTTTGTCTCGTGCAGGTGTGTTTGAATAGCATAAGCGGTTTTCAGGGGAAAGCGACAAAGCACGCAAGTTAAAATCAAAATTCAAGGCAATGTTAATTGTCTTCTTCGACATTAATGGAATTGCAATGATTGAGTGGGTTCCCAATGGTCAGCTTGTTAATCAATACAACCATACTGAAGCACTAAAAAGACTTCGTGAAAAAAGGCCACAGTTATGAAGTGATGGATGGCTGTTGCACCAAGACGATGCACCCGCTCAAACGGCCTTATCTGTCAAGCAGTTTCTGAGCAGCAAAAACATTATTGGGATGGTTCATCCTACTTATTCACCTGATTTGGCTCCATGCGACTTTTTTTTATTTCCTGAAGTTAAATCTTGCTTAAAGGCAAGCCATTTTACCTCAGTTGAAGAGGTTCAGAGCAAAAACGGAGAATCTTCTGAAGGGCCTTCCAAAAATTTCGTTCCAGAACTGTTACCAGCAACGGCAGCACCATGCTGAAGGGGACTACTTTGAAGGTGATAATATCACGGAGAACTGATTCTGGAAGTACAATGATTTATTGGACCAGTCTCGTTTTTTTATGTCACCTCGTATATACTATATACACACACACTTGGATACTTGGATACATATATATAGACCGACATCAGCGCGAACTTTATCGAGCTATTTCTGGCACCTCAGATAATCCCCGGATGGGGTATTCTCGCTTACATAACTTCAGTGATGAGTATATACACACACATATATAATATATGGCTTTCTTTGGATAAGACTGAGTCCCATTTAAGGAAATTGGGTTGCGTTCTAAATAGTTGGACTAAAGAAGAAAATATTTTATTTAACATGGATAAAACTTGTGGAATTTTTTCCCAAAAGAAGGGGAAAAGTAAGGAATCCAAGACTCAAATTTCTTGACAAAAACATTTTCTTGACAAAAACATACAAATTTTATAGTACAATTAAATATCTGGGTGTCACACTGGATGAAAAACTGACTTTTATAGAAAATTTTAAGAATATCCATACAGCAACCGACAAGATCTTAAATATTTACAGGACTCAATTTAATGTTAATACTTTACAGGTCAAGAGTGATATTCTGAAAAATCTGTATGACAATGTTATTATACCTAAGATTATGTACGGTATCGGAATCGGAGCTTGAGGACGCCGAGCAGGGGAGCTTGTCAGGTTGAGAACTATGATTGATTCAGTATAAAGAGGCTGGCTTCTGATTATCACTAGATGGTTTAGAACAGTTTAATTTGAAGTCGCATGTATTTTGGCCGGGTTCCCCCTCTCTCCATTCATTATAAATTTTTCTACAATAAATTCCTATTACAATATTCAATAGAAAGGTCTCTTATTCTGGATGGAATCCAGGTTGAGAGCAACGCATTTGCACAAATTGACAATAATTCGATTCATCCAAGACAGAGACATGGTATATTCATTTGATTGCAATGTATTGCCTACCAGCGAATATGAGATCTATACAGATGGGTCCGGTTTCGAGGGAGGTGTGGGATGTGCGTTTGTTCGTATATTTTTATGGTTTGGAGATCCATTATCGAAAATACATACTGGATAAACATAGTTCAGTTTATCAATCAGAGCTATACGCCATTTATAAAGCCTTGGAATGGATTAAATCCAATTTGATCTATAAATGTACAGTTCATATATACTCGATGCCTATTCAGCACTCGTCGCCCTCTCAGGCCGGACCATAAAATGATATCATGAATAAAATTTAAAATGATTATATGAATTTAAAATATAAAATGTCAATCAATATTCATTGGGTAAAGGCCCATATTGGTATCATTGGGAATGAGAGGGTGGGTTCCCTGGCAAAGGAGGCTGCCCTGGGGGATGGGATCTCTGATGGTGATCTACAACATTCTAAAAAAAAGTTACAATTAGCAAAATGAAAGATCACATGTATAAAAACCTGGTCTGATCAATGGAATGTGTCTCCTAGAAGATCAGAGGCTTTGTCAAATATAATAATTAAGAAGAATATGCCTATATTTTGTGATAAAGTTTATAATCAAGTTAGTAACAGAGCATGGACGCTTTCCATATGTACTTACAGAGATTCCACCTTCCAGGGGGTAAAATTATGTCTTAAATGTGATACTGCCGGTGACTGCATTCACTTTATTGAAAGTTGTAACTCACTGGGGGGGGGGGGGGGTAACAGTCGTACATGGAATCGGAAATGTAAGAGAAATGATTCAAAGTTATAAAAAAGGAGTAAAATTTGCACAAGACATTATAAAAGTCATCAATTCTCATAAACATGTGATCGGTATCTCTAATGATCGAACTAACATACTGAAAGCTTTCAATTTATGAAACTACCCTTAAAGGGAGAGAAAGAATTTATGTGCAAATGTGCAGGGATAGCTTAATTGTTTTTGTGTTTTTATGTGCCGTGTTATTCTTTTTAGTTTACTAACCTAATTTTTTTTTTGGGGGGGGGTTAAGCTGCTAAATTGATTTTGTTTTTATTTGGACCCGAACGGCTCGCCGGCTCGTGTCGTTTGTTGTTGGAAGGGTTGCGCCCGCTTTTCTTCATAAGGTTCAACAAACCAGGCGGAAGGGCTGCGCCCGTATGAAACAAAACAAAACAAAACACACATATATAATCAAAATATAATAGTTAAATAGCAAGAAGAACATACATCAAATTTGAACAAAAGTAAAACAATTCAATAAAAAAATATAAAATAATATGATAAATAAAAATAATATAATAAAATAAATAGTTTAGAACTCTTTGGCCTTTTTTAAGGAGCTACATTTTAGACGACGGTCTTATTTTTATACGTTAGTAAAAGATAACTTACCTGAAACACTCGTAGAGCTCTTATAAGTCCACCAACTTGATTCCTCAAAGAAAAAATCACAGCTGCACCTTTCTCCGCTTCTTCTTGTGATTCTTCAGCACATTTCTCTTTCTGTTCGTCGGGTTTCTGAATTTCTTCTTCCGGAACATCTTTCTCAAAGCGGCGGCAGATCTTTTTCTGTATAGAATTAAAAAAGAAAAAAAAATATTCTTATCAATATAGCGGAATTGATAATTAATATGTATCGGAATTGATAATCATAATTTTAAGAGGTGACTGAAAATGGTAAAAGTAGCAATATTCCTGACACAGTACGTGGAGGAATAAAAGACAGGGATGCGAAAACACAATAACTACCAAGGACATAGAGGAAAAAACAGAAATCCTTTCAGTCACGGATATTTATAAGGAAATTCGGAAACACTGCAATATTTCCTTATAAATATCCGTAACTGAAAAGATTTCTTTTAAACCCTGCCAGGTGTTGAGACTACATGATTAATACGTTGCATAAACCGCGCAGTCGCTTCCTTAAATTTAAATTTCTATGGGAAAAAGATATTAGGTAACGAAAGATAACGAAACGATAGATAACGAAAGCGAGTATAATTTAAATAAAAAAAAAATGAAAGGTTTCAGATTTTAAATTACTTCCAAAGGGGCGTTTTTTTAACATTTCGTGTGTTATCTTTATTTATTAAATATCATGTTCTTCGCACTTAAACCATAAAATTCAATTCAAAAGCTGTGTCGCAAAATAATTTTAAAATGAGCATATCTTTCTTTAGAATTTCCGATACAGAGTCTTAAGCACTGGAGATAATTTTTTTTTTTTTTTAGTCCAAAGGGATTTGAATCCCGAAGGACTATTAGTTTCGTTTTGGTTTTGGGCATTTTGCGTCGGACTCATAAATGTCGGTTCACACTTTTCAAACTGTTGCCACAAATGTTAGAGTCCTGCATTATATTTTGAAGAATTAAATAATGAAAAATCTGCATAAATTTACGTATATTTCTCGTATTGTGATAAAACAACGGTACAATAGAGTCATCGAATTTTGAATAACGTAATTGTCCAACGAATATGAGCATGTGGAAGACCCAATTGAAATTTGAAATTTGTTTTAGGATCGATTTCCTATTTTTTTAAAACTTTGACGAATTTTTGATTAACAAACTCAAGGATTTCAAAGCGAGCAATGGCAAACGTTGTGCAGAAAAAACATTTTTATCTCCAGCGCGTGAGTCTCTGTATCGGAAATTCTAAAGATATGCTCGTTTTCAAACTATTCTGCGATATTGC